AAACGGGAGTCCTTCAAGGTGACGTCGTGATTATTCTTCTCCTGGCCCATGGGCATCATCGATGCTGACCGCGTTCTGAACATATTCATGTTGACTAAGTGGTGCCATGTAACCTCAACTGACTTAGCTTGACTTGCGTTAAGTAACTTCATGAAGGTTTCTTTCTGGAAATTCCGCCTTCACATCCAAACTAGTTAGGTGGATTGTGGACTCCTGACAACTCTTGTTCCACACCACGATTTAATCTTCCCATGCGCAACCCTCAAATATCCACAAATGCACAAAGGGCCCCAAAATTTGCTCGAAATCATTATTGTTTCAGGAGCGGTCAATGACGAAACCTTTCCGGGAGGGCCACCTTCGAAAAATGCTGCAGAATGCAGGAGCGTGTCGCGCTGTTCATTGCTTCAGCCATGGCTCCTCGTCAGGGGGCGCAACAACGGCAAAACGACATGTTTATATCATACATAATACATTACCCAAACACCATGTAGGCCATATGCTTACATTGGGGTGGTTTGGGGGGTCAATGGGGCGGCATATATGGCAGTCACTATGGCAGTCCCATGGAGTGCCTCGGTAATGTGAGGAAACAGTTCTACAAGGATCTGATTGATTGACCAGGCTGGATTCCTGGAACTTCTGGATACCTGTGGATTCCTGTCACGCCAGGAGCTAGCAGCACCACAACTGCCCGAACGGGACGCCCGGGCGTCACCCCAGGCCGGTCCTAACATCCCTGCTGCCCAAAGAAGCAAAATGCTGTTGATCTGACAGCACATGGGGACGCACTCATCATACTCATCTCTGTGCGATTCCAAAATGAAATCTAATGACAAAAGCCTGAAAAGCGAAGATCTCGGTCATGGTGGCCAAGGCTTCCAGCGTCCCGCCCAAAGTCCGGAAGGTCTTCACGTAGGCCTGGGTGTGGGCGAAAACACGAATCAAATCGGATCAATCGACAGTGTCCATGTTGGCTTGAGATGTTCCAAGATTCAAACACACTAAGGAGACAAACATACACAAACAGTTGGAATTATATACTAGCTCAAACATAACTGCAGTTTGAGTGCTGAGAAAGTCCACCAGGCTTGCCACCATGGGCTTCGATTTCGGCAGCCGACCTCCTGAATGATTTGTGTATCTGGTCCTTGCTTTAAAAAAGGCTGCTGGATGTATACCTATAGCATTCACGCAGGTGCCGCCTCATACAACCATAATCCTACTGATATGCCCACTAAGCCAGGGCTCGGCAAACCATAGACCAGCTGTGGGCGTGGTGCCCAAAACTGACACCTGGCAAACCATGCAACGCATTTTGCAATCTTTAGGAACAAGAAGCTACCAGGAACAAGTGCATCGCTTCTAGTAACAAGTGCCTTACTAGTAGTAACAAGTAGCTATTGGTACCAAGAAGCTATTAGGAACCGCAACCCAAAAACACTTTCCGACAGCCATGTAACTATATATGTGTTAGGTGTGCTTTTTTCATGTTCTTTCTAGATTTCAGTAGCTTTTTGTAGCTGGTGAATGCTCACAGTTGCTTGCAGTTGCTCCCGTATTCTTGGTCTCACCGTCTTGTCCCCGAAGAGCCTGCCGTCTTGTCTCGCCTTGTGCCCGAAGAGCTGGCGACTCAACGTGAACAAGACCGCGCGGGAGACCGACGCATGGGGATCCCCGACGCCGTGAAAGGCGAACCTGAAGCGGAGCGGCGCGGGGTGCGGGTCGAAGGGAGCTGAAAGGAAGCTATATGAAGCTAATGGACATGGACATGATAGTCATGACAAAGAAATGCGGTTGAGGGATGTTGAGGGAGTTTATATAATACTGCTTGCTTTAGGAGAGATGGAACTTCTGCTAGTGCTGAAGGATCCAAAGGGGCTTGCCAGCTAGAGAAACAAAAACACAACAATGACACCACCAACGGACTTGCCCCAAGGTCGAAGATGCCAACGGACTGACTGCTAACCTGGATGACATCTGATGGCAAGGAATGCCTTCACTGAGGACGATTGGTCCAAACAACTCGGTATAGCATGGTATAGCCATCTCAGGATGTCGCATCGGTGCACCAACAAATGATTCTCCGACCCTGATGATTGGCCCAAACAACTCTTCTTTCCGCTCCACTCGCGCTCGCCAAGAGACCAGGCCAACTCACCAAAGTGGTGATTCACCAGTTTCGTCATTTGCTGGATTGTGTCCCAGGTCTGAAACCATCGGTACTCCTTACGTCTGGGCGCGCGTGAAACAGCATGCGAATCACACAAATGCATAACTCACATAAGACCGTACCGGTGGGCAAGCAAAAACAAAGTAAAAATCATGTCAAAAGCTGCCCAGGTCATGGAGGGCATGTGGCCCTCCAATCATCGTCAATTCGGTCGCCTTTGAGTCAGTCCGACAGCCAAGTAGCTGGTGCGACGAAGTCAGGATACCTCTTTGGACAGAACATGGATCCTCAGGGCAAAAACAAGAAGAAACACAACAACAAGCAAACTACCAAATACCTTTCGGACACATCTCAATGGTTGGAACGGGTGCTGTGGGTGGAACAGCGTGACCTCTTGAGCATCCATACAGCGTGCTCCAAACTGACATTAGCCATTGATGATTGCTATACAGCATGTCGGAAGGCACTCGTGATGCAAGCCATTTCAGCCTGCAGTCTGCGAGTTCAACAATGCTGTTGAAGTTCCACGCACACCTCTCTCTCTCTCTCTCTCCCTCTCTCTCTCTCTCTCTCTCTCCCCCTCTGTGCAGCATCTTCCTAATACAGTACATGTTTCAGTTGTTCCCTTCAGTTTGATGTCCCACATCAGTGGAAAGCGTCGACACACACCGCTCCCATCGTCTTCATCCGATTTGGCGGCTGTGCGCGGGCTCGACATTGGCAGTTCAGTCACCGTTCACCGCCTATAGTAGGTGTTCTTGTCTGTTAACTTATGTTGTCTCAAAGCCGTGGAGTGCAGAATGAGCTAGTGAACGGCTTCAAAGTGCCACCGGCCAGTTGAAGGGCTAGACTGCTGCTGTCCTACACTTGAGGTTGTTGACACACACACATATATATATATTACATAATTATGTCTCTATGTTATATAGACACGTGCCAGGGTTTCACGGCTTCGGATATGTCTCTCCCCCTTCATTTTGGAGCTCAAAAAGATGGTGCCGGATATGTTTGCTCTTTTGCTTTGAATGCTGATTCATCTCATGGGCCGATCTGAGTCCAAAAAGGCTTCGGCACCCCACTGGCAACCCAAATTCTCACGCGTTGGCCACTGTCGCCATGTAGCTACGCCAGCTGGACGCCAAGCCTGTCCAGACCCGCTTTGAGCTGTTCATCCAGCAAATCAGCGCGCTCCTCATTGCGCAAGGCATGCGTGAGGAACCTAGTAAAACAGGATAAAACCGTCTGTTCAATGAGGCCAGGGTCACTTCCGGTCATTTGTTGTGCCGCTCTGTGCTGCTATGCTGGGCTGTAAGCAATGGCCCCGGGAAAAAAAGGTAGGATCACACCAGAACCTCAAATGCCCATTTTGCGCACAAGGCGCAATGCTTGAGACAAGGAGCTAGTTCCAGTTGGTAGGCATCCTTCCAAACCTGCACCTGGCGATCTACAAATCGACACATCTGCACATCTCAAACAAAAAAGCGTTGCTAGCAAGGCGCTCCATTCTGGTCCATGGACTGAAACTGCATAAAGCATACATGTTGATTTCTCATGCTCCATGGTCTGCCGAACTTTTCATTGCTTTTCCCGATGCAGTAGGATAGGTGAGGTCACCCCCACCGGGGTCGCAAACGTAAAGGAGCGATGTGTCATGTGAGAGGCTTCCAGAGGTTTAAAAATAAGGTTTCATCATGTCTCCATCGGACTCCAATGTCTTTCGTGTTACTCACTCGCTCGACTTTTGACCGGGTCTTTCGTGTTACTCACTCGCTCGACTTTTGACCGGGCACCTCTTCCTCGGACTCCTCCGTGGCATCCACCAGTGCACCGTCCACGTGTCGCACCACCACAGGAACTTGACTCGCACGTGAGGACGAGGACCAGCCGACGAAGGTCAAAGGCAGGAGGCCTCCCAGTCTTCAATTGCACGAGGCCACTGGATCACCCAACTCAAGAATTGGCCAGTGGCCACGTCAACTACAGTAACTAGTTTGGAAAGGATTCTTTCTATGTTCCCAAGAGCTGCCCCATAGGCTCTCTTTCAGGTGAGACCCGAGATAACACCAGTGAAAACTCGCCAGGGCCTGCAGCCAACAAGGCCGGGAACAAGTTCCGGGATCTGCGCACCATCGTGGAACTCTGCGATGGCAATGAATTCCCGGCTTGCGATGCAAAGAAAATGCCCGGAAATTCATGAGTCGATTCTTTCCTGATGGGTCTGATGTGTCTTCACCTGCTGGGTCTGGTGGATCCTCAGATCTCAAAGAGACAGTTCATTTCAAGGATAAACACGGGAGAACACCCATTTTGGTCGGTGGCTTTCTGCAGGTGGATGGGTTTTCGATTTCTTCAGAGCAAACTCGGTGTACTGCTTCTGTCCATCTCCTTCTTTATGCTCTGAGCAAGGCTGTCACATGCGAAATGAGACAGACTCAAAGAATCTTCTACCTCAGCCTTTGTGCACCCCCCTGGCCTGTTCCCCTCACCTCAGATAACCACACTTGACCGTGGTAATGTGGGTTGATCAGAACGCTGCAGAGTTCCAAAGGCTGTCAAGGTCGAATAGGAAGGTTGGAACATCGGAATTGGCCACTGAAAGCGCGTGAGTTCCTGGTCTGAACCATCAAACCTGGAAACTTCTGCACACGATTCGTCTGGAAAGCAACACAGATATCCAAACCCAAGGCCCCAACAGTATCCAACAATCATCCGAACAATAGCACAACAACCCCCACATTACCGCTCGTTGCATACATGTTCCGGCATGTTCTGTGATACCGTGGAACATGCCCAAGACGCGACCTCAGTGTGCAACTGGCTCCCTTTTTCGGCCCTTTTCTTCAGCCCACAACGCTGAGATCCGCTGGCTCCGACGGCTCATCTGACCTTCCACACGAGGTACGACGTCGATCCACGCACCTGCCGTTTGCCACGTTTCTCAACGTTTTGCCTCCGACCTGGCAAGCTTTGAGGGATTTCTCGCCGACCGCTGCCGACGGGTGCCGAACGTCGGTGCGCTCCGGAGCACCCATTGGTGGCCGCAACGGACGGTGGTGCCCAACGGACGCTGTAGTTGGAGGTCCACTGTAGCTGCGCACGGCAACGTCTGGTCAGAGGCACTGGCCACCAGCGAAGGGGACGCGGTCGTAGTGAGTCAGGAGGAATCTGCATCATCATCTGCCTCACTGTCCATTGGCTCCATGTTAACTGGGTCTTCACAGGTCTTCCAGTGGAGGCACTCCTCACACCGTGAGAGGCGGCAAAGCAGGCCAGCCGTAAAAAGAGCTACCACCAAGCTTCAAAGGTTCGACGTGCTATTACCCATGCCAAGGCATTCCAAGGCTCATGGACCCAAATTGCCAGCATCACCAAGGGTGAGACCGGCAGAAAGCACCATCTGACCTCCAAACCAAAGGTAGCTGCCAAGCGTTCGCCCAACACCGCACCTGACCAAGGCATCAAAACATACCAGGAAATGTCTTTCAACCTCCGACCTGACTCTTGAGGTACATATCATAAGCCCTCCCCATATGAAGAGGTGTTCCAATTCAAATGGAATATAGGTTCTTAACACTTCTTAATCAAGAGTCTACATTATTCCCGTCAATGGTCTTACTCAAGAGTCTGCATATGTCATGATCATTGTGTCGGATTTCTAAGGTGGAATGCCATTGGAGTCGATGACTTTGATCCAACTGGCATGCAAGGAGAGACCTGCCACAGAACTATGGTGTGATTGGTTGCGACCTGCCACGCCACTGACAGCTTTATTCTGAGGTACCATGGGAAACTACCAGTACATGTCAAAACCCAAAGCAAATTCCCCGCCTGTGATGAGGCCGATGAGCCTCAGTTCTTTTCTTACATGCTGCTTAACGCGTGAACCGGGACTCTGCCGAAGGAGTTGGATCTAGAAACAATGATGGGCTTTACATGGCTTTTAATCTGTAGATCTCACGACTCGATGCTTCATTCTGTTCTGAACATACATCTTCATACACATGCTGGCTTGGTCCTGCTGCTAAGGCACATCACAGCGCTCAAATACACATCTTTGCACTGCTGGCCCTCCTCGCCGCCTTTGCTCCAACACCTCAAACGGATCCAGCGGATCGAGGCGTAAGGCGTTCAGGCGTCGATGCAGCAGCAGGATACGCTGGATACACTGCTGGCTCTACAAGTTAACTTTAAAATGGTGTTGTCCCTTTCATTGGATCGGAGGGAAAGAAAAACAACTACATGTGTCATGAAAAAATATGAACAAATATGTCTTAGGAACATGCGGCCACTTCGCGATGGTCATGATTTTTGGGGATGGATTCGTGAAGCCTCTCTGGGTGCCTGAGGTCCCAGGCATCTCGCACAACTTGGACATGTTGTACAGGTGCTTCGAGACGCCAGTGGCTGGGAGTTTGAGATGAGTGAGTGCAAAGGCCTCGAACGTCGCGATTTTTTCACATCGCAAACGGACTTGCTGAGACCGAAGCCAATTGAGAACACTCAAAAAGCTGTCTCACGTTCACGGTAGGCTCGTCTGAACACCGACAGCAGCTCAAACTTCAACCACTAACCACTCAGGCAGCTCCTTTTGCCTCTTTGCAATGGTCGAACTCCGTGTCCCTTAAAATGTCGTGTGAATGGCAACCTTTATGGAAGCCAAATTGGATAGTATCATGTCCATACCCATGCACACATGGCATGTGCACGGTTATCTCTGTGCCTGGAGCTCTTAAACAAGGCCCTTATTTCATACTAATTTAGATAATTTTAGCGCCTCCCTCCATAAGACAATGTTTATATATATATATTATATATATACCAGTAGTTCATGGTGCCAATTCTTAGACATGGGCAAGTCTTCGGGAACAATCCATCAATGATGAACAATTCATCAACACCGGCCTACAACTCTTGGAGCCATCAGTAAGTCCCACAGGCCCAGCTTGGAGCCTGGGCGCCTCTTCCACACCGAAGATGGGCACCAAACCCACAATCCACCAGCGATTGCGTGGGTCCCCCGGACGCGCTGAGAGGTTGAAGGCGATGTCGATGGCCGTGGAGAATCTGTGCGGAGATGTCGGTGGAGGTCCTCCTAAAGCCCCCCCCGAAATCCATCAACTCATGAGATCAACTCATGAGATCTAAAGAAGGAGAGACACTTTGGATTGGCATGTTCTCATCAAGATATCTCATCGGATCTAGTTGGCTCGGACATCATCAGGACAGCTTGCAGCTTGTCGTTTGACGTGGAACACACGTGTTGCGGGGGTTTCCCCACCGCAGATCGAATAAAAGCTCCGACCCATGGATCAGATTGATTTAGCTAGCCAGTGCATGCACAAGGCCGTTACAAAATTTGTACATGACCCTGGGGTCTTTCTTTTTTCCCTCAAAGCCGCGCTTCCAAAGTGGGCAAACCTACTCTTTTTTGCGAGGTTGAAACAGCGAGCTTGATGGATTGATCGCGATTGTTCTTCACAACCTTCAGTTGGATTGCTCGTTGCCAAGGCTCATCGCCACCAGAAGTGCCGCCCTGGAAGCACCCCGACGAGGAAACACCTTTTCCTTGTGCAGCGGATGGGGGGGGGGCGAATTCCTCCAGCTTGGTGGGGCGGTGGGGCCGAAAGTGACCTTTGGTCGTTGAACGAAGAACATGTCCACACCCCCTCAAGCTGATGTCACTCCTTTTGCCCATCAAGCATCAATCTGATGGTAAACAAAAGATCCGCTGCTCCACGCAACCATGATGGCAAAGTAAAAGAGGAAGTCCTACCCGTCAGGAGAGTGACTGCAGCTGGGTCGATTGTGAAAGACAAGCTGGCCAACTGAAACAGAATCATAGTCAGCTTCTATGGCCGCTTTGCAGGAAGAATTTGTTGATGTGTGCCTCAAGTTGACACCACATCAATGTAAAATTATGTCAAATTAACATGTTGCCTTTCAAATTCACAGGGGAACAGGATTCTCCGCCAAAGGGAAGGACAACAAGGTTGGAAGGAATGAGTCGGTTTGGCCGTTGCGAACATCAGAACGACGACCGGACCTGTCTCTTCTCCGACCGATGCGGCAGCACATCACCGGCTTCCCATCAGCTTGCGTTCACAAACCTGCTGCAAGTGCGACGGGTAGAAGTAGAAGGCCCAACATGGCCTAAATCCCTATAAAACAATTTGAGCCCAACATGACATGACTATATTATATACTGCTTCCCCTAAAAGACGCCCCCCCCCTCTCTTCTCCCCATTAGTCCGGTCGACCGCTCCTGCCAGGCCAAGGAGGCCAACTGCCGCCCCGCGAAGATCACGTTGCCCGTCATGCTGGCCGCGAAGCTGCCGTAGCGCATGTACGTGATGACATCTGCCTAGGACGACACACGCGGTTCACGCCGCCTCAAACAGCGCCTTGGACCGTTGGTTCGAAGAAAAAACCGCGTCCTGAGACGTAGGGCGCGTGCGGACGCGCCGTGCGGAGACGTTTTGGGGGTGTGGTGCTATGGCGTGGAACAATGAATTCATGAGCGATCCTTTTTATGACCACATGGAATACACCCGGTAAGTTGATTGTCGAAATTTGTTTCCCATGGTCCTAGCCATCTCACTCTTTCCTTTACGATGTATACGCGTGTTTAACAAAAAACTGTGGCCATCTAGTCCGCGGCTGAGACGACAACGGGTCGCTCCACGACGATCGTCAGAATTCCGGTGGTGCCGGCGGTTGCAGCAAGTTCGAATCGAGCCGTCCTCGACCGGCACGCCCAATCCATTAACAGGACCGGCAACGGCCGAATCGACATGTTGCTATCCTTCACTGTGAATCAGTCAAAAAAGCTGGATCTTTTCCGGAGTTCAAGATACATATCCAGCCAGGAAAGCTAGAACAAAAGCGGCCAGCCCCTGCAGCAAACAGGCAGGAAGCGCCATGGCCAGCGCTCTGCTTACAAACCTTTCATGTGCTTGGTGGCTTTCCCTTGACATGACCACCCTATGCGGCATAAATATACCAATGCCGATGCCCTAACCCACAAAGGGAAGACACATAGAGAACTCTTGACGCAGCGAATTTTGAGATAAATAACAATACATCATGGGTCACTCAATGAACATCATTGGTCAGCCCTCCAACAAACTCACCACACATGCCACACTAGGAGCCAAATTTGTGGGATGATCATGCAGGATGAGTCTGACACACACGCAATCACTGCCACACAATTCAGATCGTCCATCCGCGATGTTATCTGTGATGAGCCGCGCGCGGCTTTTGTCCATGCGTTCGTTCGCATGGCTGGGCGCATCGTCGCAGGGCGCATCGCTATGCCGTCGCATCGTTACGCCGGTCATGGCCATACCCAGTCTTCCAAGAGCATGAAAGAATGGCTCAGACTATGATTACTCGCTACTAGGAACAAGTGCATCGCTTCTAGTAACAAGTGCCTTACTAGTAGTAACAATGTTTGCCATTAGAAACAATAAATAACAAGACTGGAAAGTCTACCAAAACCTGAAGGATTCGCATGCTCGGAGAATGCTTGGAATCCTGGCATAGGTGAAACTGCTTCCAACTGGGCCTGTTTTTGTGCCTCGGTGGATGCGAATGGATTCCCTTTCAGGTCAAGTTGTCATCAATTGACGTGGCCCTTCTTTTCACTTTGGGGTCTTGAAATATAATGGGTTTAGGGTTTAGGGTTTAATATAATGATGTATACTTGCATTCTAGATCTGCAAGCAAGAGATGCCATCCTTCTGCCGGCGCCGTGATCCGGACGAGGGCACCGGCCATGGGAGCTCAACGGCCATGTTGCACATGGGGTGCCAAACTGAAGTCTCAAAGTTCGTTGAGCTCGAATCATTGACTATAATTAACTTCTTGAATGGGAGTCCAAGCTCATTAACCTCTTATTCCGCGAAACGGGCGGAATTCACGCCGCCGCCATTGTTTGCGGGGCGTTCAGGACAAACGGCTATACATCATCACCACATCTTACATGGCAGCCATCGGCTGCCGAATGAGACCCAACCCAGTGGTTGAATGCCTGCTAGCATGTAGCTAGGCTCTTGTACACTGCAAGGATTTCTGGAGACTTCCACAGCGACTGGGCAAAGGAAAAGCATTTGGTTTCAATCCCCCATCGAACAGGGTCAGTGAAGATAGCTGGTGGGAGACTTTGACCCGACAAGCCCAGTTGCTCCTGCCTACACATGCCGCTCCGATGGGGAACTCACGGAGTCATGTATCGCACGCCGCTTCCTGCAACACCACCGGCATTGTAGACTGACATTGTGCGGTTACTTCATCAATCTGCTGCAGAGCTACGGCACCTTCTTGAACAACAAAACTGTTTGCAATGTTCTGACCTTGGCATCAACGACCTGCCTGGCATGTCTCCTCCTCAGCCGTCAGAAAGCTCGCGTGAAAGGACACCTCCTGACAAGGCTGTGTGAAAGGACACTCTCTGAAGCCAGGAATCAAACACGAATCAACTCATACTCGCTGCACCCGAGTGGTCAACCCTGCACTCACTCCCTGTCTCTCTCTCTCTCTCTGAGATGAACCATGATAAAGCTGAAACCAAAGCTACCTGAAACCCCAAAAAAAACGCCACTGGCCTTTCACAACAGTTCTGGCATGTACGACGTAGCCACGGCCAGTAAGAACATGCAAGAAGGATGTCGAAACCTGTGGAACAACCTCAGCAGTTTGCAAAGCTATATTGCCCCACCCAAGGGTCTGCCTATCACGTGTCTTTGTGGGCGGGCGCCGCCACAAACAAAAAAAATATATATATATAGATATAGATATATAGATATGGATATATTTATATATAGATATAGATATAGAGGTATAGATTTTTAAAACTATTTAATGATCTATACACACAATATACAATATACTATATATCTCAACAGGTTCATAATTAACTGGTGTCACACCACTCATCCGGTTCATATGTCTTCACAGAAGATTGCATAAGGAGCCGGAACAAAGACTAAATCCACACCTTGGCGGTACTAAGAAAAACATTCTCACTCTAACCCAGCACGGCCCTCTTGCCTCCGAGGTAAATGGAAGGATGTCTGACAAGGAGGGCGGCTCGTCCTTGGCAAGGCCCGTTCTATGGAATGCTCACAAGTGGAGGCTGTAAGACCTGATCTCTCTTCTGTGCCCTAGGCAAAGCAACTCCGACCATGTGCCTATATCTGCACTCAAGTAGACCAAATAATTAAATCTGCAAGATTCTGAATTCTTGTCTTTCCCATCGTATGTCCTTCACCCGATATATGCATGTGTTGAACACTTCCACTGTTAGGCCGCCTTGCACGACGATCGTTCAGTCATGGCACAACTCCAGCAAAGTCCAGCCGCAAGGATGCCAAATCCTCCATCCTGAGACCAACATTCTAGGATGATTGACGGCAGCAGTCCTTTCAGTGATCCAGGCAGCAGTCAAGCCGTTGTTGTCTAATTGTTCTCTAGACAAATGTAAGGCACACAAAAGTCATGAACACAAAACAACATGATCTCTCTCTCTCTCTCTCTCTCCACATTGCCCTCTCCAAGAGTTGTGTCATAATTGATCATTGTCGACCAAAAGGCGAGAGGGACAAGCACAAACAAACTCTGTCATCCAGCCAGGAGGACTCTCGAACAAATCCTGGAAGATCTGGGGAAAGTCCATAATATCACAAGTTATATTATATAATCATTTTTACTGGAAAATTGAGGGCACAAAGTTTGTGTCAGCTGGGCAGGGTCATGAGAAACAAAAAACAAAAAACTAGGATAGGAATAGCCAAACAATGTGACAAGGGGTGACTAGACTAGCGCGCGTAGGGGAATGAGGGTGGTTGACCCAATTCCTGTCTGGAGGGGGTGCTAGATTCGAAAAGCCAGTCTAAGATGAGACAGCCTCATTCCCCAACACCACATTCACCTGGATTCAGCGCCGAGTTGCGAGATTTCTCCACTTTCCCATGCACTTTCCACCGAGTAATCCTCGGATACAACGGCTGTGTGCCATGCGAAGCTTTTACGAGCAAATATCTTGTGACATCTGTTCAATACCTTCGATGCTGGTGACTGCTGCATTGCCTTAGGTTCTTGACATGTTGGTACTATAGCACCGCTGTGTGCAGTGAAGGTCAAAACGGAGTGATTTGGACTTGCTTGCGCACCAAGGCTCTATCGCGTGATCTGCAGATGCCAAATGCTTCCGTTTCCTTGGGGGACAAAATGACTGGTGCTAGCTTGGCTAGCTTGGTCCTCTTGGACAAAGAGTCGGCAAACATTGGTTCAGAACAGCACCAAGCAAATCTGAAGTAATTAGTTGCACAATTTGTTTGCACAACGTCCGATGATGCGCTTTCCCGACATCGACCTCGATTTTTGAGGAAAGGACTTGGAGCAAACCCCAAAATTAATTGAGCCGTGGAAGACCATGTTCTGCGAACCAGTGGTGCATCGCACGATGGTCTGTGCGGGTTGAAGCCCAAACCAAGCAGACGGAAATCTCCTTTTCCGCTGGACCACATCGACCTGCTACAATACTACCAGCAGTTCGATCAGTTCGACCTCCGTTGGTTTCAACCAGTCTGACGCCATGACCAGTGTACCCGCTCTTTTGGCACCTAGAAAAAGCAATGACTCAGGAACTTGAAATGGGAACATAGGGCTGGCTGTCTTAGCTCTTCAATTTACTTCTAGCTGTTCTTGTACCACACTCCGCCTTCATGAAGCATGTGGAGAATCTGCACCTTTGGGAGGCCGGCACTGTACAAGTCTGTACACTTGCTTCCTTCATGGCCGGTGATGCACTCGAGGTACTTCATGCATAAATAGAGGCCGCGCGGCCCACAGGTTGTTTCCTTGGGTTCCCCTACAGCTTGTCGGCTAGGACCTAGGATCCATGAGAACGTATGAGAACGTCTTATATTATTCCTCTGCTGCCTGGCACCACCTGCCATAGCAATCGAAGCAATTCATTCGCAGGGAGATGAGAAAAAAACACATCTTTCTCTGGCCAACGCGACGAAGATCCCGGAGCTTGCGGCTGGCTCTATTGGCAGCGCATCTTGTGCACACCAAGGCATTGAAAGATACCGGGAAGAAGTCCAGACGCATAGGACCCCACATCACCGGATTTTGTTTTGAGAACTTGGAGCTATGCAAACAACGAAGTGAGGACTCATCCCAGGGTTGGACCAATGGACTCGACCCCCTTCATACCCTACTTACGATCACGTCACTGCAGCCTGGACTGTTTTCCCTTCTGATTCTTCCGGCCACCCCGGGTTTTCTGTGCAAACATCTTGGCTGGCTTGCTCTTCTTCGGCTCCTTTCGCGGCGGATTAGAACGGGCAGAAACAAACCAAGGGATACGAAGAGACCCGCCGCGGAGCCCACAGGGAGTATCCAAATCGGTGGTTGGGGCCCATGGTGTTTAAAAGCTGTCCAAAAGTCTCAACCAAAATGCACAAGCACATCAGATACGTACAACTCACTCGATGGGAAGACTTCAGCGATATAGTCTGGCAGGCAACTGACCGGGTCGCTCACCATGAGCAGGATAGGTAATTAATTATGCCCTATGGACGTCTTTTTCTTGGACCGCCAAAGTATGCCCAATGCCCATCAATGCACCCAATAAGGCCACAACCAACAAAGCCGATATATATATATATATACACCTGGAACCCAATGGACCCCTATTTTGATAGGAGAAGGCCATATTTTGGGTGGTTGGTGGTCCAAAATAGAGGTCATTCAGGTGCTAGGTATATATATATATATGCTGCTATACTCCTCCAACTCCAACTGACTACATCTGCGAAAAAACGGCCCGTAGCACCGGCCCGTAGCAACCGAATCTAGAGCCGCCTTGACGAGCTTCTCCACGTGGAGCGGCAAGGTCGCCAGGTGCAAGGAGCAGCGATCGCCCGGTGACCTCACTCGGCCCAGGCCTGGAGGGCGCGCGGAGGGCGCGCGGTGCGAAACCTGCGAACGAACGGTGAGACCGTGGGGTGCCAAGCCAACGAGACAGGTCTTTTGTTTATTCTCACGCAACCTGAAGCCAGCATTCAGAAACCAGCATTCAAACAGGTCTTTGTTTCAAGGGAAGGGTGACTGTTTTAGAGCAACGTTGGGCCAATTCGCTTGGAATGAGGCATGTTGGCGTTGGAACCCTCCGAAGACGGAGGGTTCCTGTTCGTCACGTCCACCGTAGAACGAACGACCCCAAAACAAACCAATCACAACCAATCCATCCGACCTACCGTAGAACAATCCTCAAACATATCATTTTGGAAGCAACTCTTGATGTTGTTTTGCCTTGATGGGCTGGTGCTGGCATGCCGTCACCATGCCGATGGTGTTTTTAGCTCGCCTGGTGCGCTGGCAATGGCCAAACCATCCGGACCCAAGGACAAGCTGTGGCCTCAGCCCACACCGTAGAGACGGCTGTTATGCCCCTGTTCCGTTCAGCTGCAAAACATCTTCAGGGAGTGGCCACCTGTAGAGTGGTGCTCGAGTTCAAGGGTGTGCCCCATCTTTACATCATATATCTCATTCACATCAAGCCTATAGGATTATTACGAGTACATTGATGGCATTCGATGGCTATGTATTTCCCTCTTAGAATGCAACTCAGCAGTCTTCCGGAGGCATTGTATGTTCATTCCTATCAATGCTTGAACGTGTAACAACTATATGTTGAACTCTGCGCACGTTTTGTGGGGGTTCAGCCAACCTGTGGGTATTTTGGGGAGCGGGCTTCTTATGGAGCTGTGCTACTATGGACATGGGAGCTGGAGCTGAGCAAGAGTCAAAGGGGCCCAACATGCGGAGTTGATCAACGCCACCGTCCGCACCGGCTAGGACTCACCCGCTTAGCGCCTGGCCGAGGCCGCTCATGGTGATCCGCAGCACCTAGAGGTGGAAGATGTTCATATACCAAGGATGAGATCACTTGGAGGGCACAAACCACAAGCAAGTTGAAGAGAGTCTACTCACCAAGTCATTGCTCTTGGATGCTCCATTTCTTTCATCACCCATCAAGTTGAAGGTGTATGGAATCTCAGCTGCAGTTACTTGAGTGTTTCGTGTCGCTTGCGAACAATCCCAAACACGAACAACAGCCTTCAATGGATACAACATACATGGCCGCTCATGGCTCGCCCACCTCTTTCCGCAAGGCTCCTTGCCAAAGAGTCACCGTGAGGTACGCGTGCAAGGCAGCGCCTCAGCAACCAAGTGAGCTACCCAGCGGTCCTTCACGTCACGTCAAATGAGCAGGATGCAACTCTTTTTGGGAACAAGGTCTAGCAAGTGACAAAGTCTATGGTCTCCTCCAAGTTTTGATCAATGCATGCTCCAATAAAATACGCCACCCAACACCATCAAAAAAACAACACTTGGATCGGATATTGTAAACGTTCTTGTGCCATTCACGCCTCACACATCACCTACACAAGTACCCCGGGCACTCAGTAGGTTGGTCTTGCAAGAGCTGAGAGAGGTCACTCCGTTCCCCACCGAGCTGAAGAAACCGACCCTCTTGGACGAGGCACAAAGGTCTCCGGCACCTGAGAGGCCCAGGATCACCCCGTCACTGTGCGTCTCGGGGCCCTTAGAGCGCACGGATTGGCGCAGATCGGCCGGACGGCTGGTGATGGATGACGGATGGATTTTGATCGATGACTTTTGGCATTCATGGATATGTCGATATATATATATATATAATGTTGACATATGGATGATGGTGGTGAATTTGCATGTTGTTCTTGCATGTTCTTGCTCTCAGAGTTAAGAGGGGCCAAGAGAAAGCTAGCTCTGTGCACCAGCCAAGTCTCAGCCACCAGTTCGCCATTTCTCTCCAATTGCCACCTTGAGACATTTGAGATTCCGGAGTGGTCTGTGCTGCGATGCGGTCGGATCCAGTTTTGAAGCTGCCATCCATGCCCAAGCAGAGCATTCCCAAGCATTCCCAAGCAACTCTACAACTCGAGATGGTTCACCCACCTGAAATGGCCCAAAATCGCTTTCTTCAGTGACGAAAGACCGCTCGCTCCTCCCGCTTTCGAGACTCCGAAGGGCCATTGAAGCTTGGAGTCTCCACTGGATGCCGTGACGAAGGTCTTCGAGCGAAGAACACAGGCGTAGTTGTGGCAGCCTGGCTGCGCGGCACCGTGCAGGAAACCGAACCAACACGAAGCAACACGAAGCAGCATGTGGCACGAAGCAACCTGAAAACCCAAGCCATGACGAATGACATGCTCAAATTCTTTGTTGGCATCTTTACAGCAACACCGTATTCCAGCCTTGAACATTTGCTGCACTATCGTGCCATATATATATATTTTTGAATATATATATATGCTATTATTTATATATATATGCTATTATATGCTATATTTCCAATGCACGTATCGCGTCTCAAGCTCTGCCAGGTTCTTAAAACAACGAGTCGCGGGCCTCGGCTGGAGACTGCAGGCTTCGACCGGCCTGAGACACAAATGACATCTGAGAACTTCTGAACATGTCTGAAGTGGACTTAGGACCTAGGATTTGCAAATGGTCCGAAGTGTTGTTGAATCATGTTCAAAATTGTTCAAAGCTTCATGACTCCTGATTCGTTTCATCTGGCCTCTACGTACCTACCTACCTACCTAAATCTGGACACCCAAACCTCAGGGCTCACCCTCCTCCGGCCGGTCGCACCTTCCAGGAGCTTTAGGGTGCCGGTCGCCACGGTGAAGGTCCAGGCAGAAGCACCCGCACTGAAAAAGGCCTCGGTGTTCTAATATATGATGGGTCATTCACTTCTTCTACTACGTATACGCACCGGCGAGTTTGACTGTGCCGGGGGGACGCCTGGTGATTCACCTAGCCTCCCCGTCCTCTCGGTCCGACCGGTGAGTTCGTAAGCTTTGTTCGACCCCAGTGGTGACTGGGATAGAACCACTCAGACTGAAACGACCAACAACGGCAAACATCCAGATGTGACATCCAGGTTTCACGTGCGTTCTGTGGGTTGAAAGCCGATTTCACTTAGTGTTCAGGCCACGTACTAGCCATAAAGGGCAGACTCTGGGATGGCCCTCTTATGCCCTCTTCCTTCATCTCCAGGGCTCTCCACTCACCATTCAGACCGGGGTTCGCGCTAGAAACTTCGGATTCCCGAGATCGAAATTCAGCACGTTGGTTTTGAAAGCGTCGGTCAGTCCGCATTCTTCACCCCAGCCATGCAAAAACAGTGGCCAAGTCCTCATTGCCCAGGTTGTAGCTGGAGATGGCCGGAATACCCTCTAACTCGCCCAAGGAGCCCACCGGCTCGATCCTGGCGGTCAAGCTCTGACAGTAGAGCTGGAGGAACATGGGTCTCGGTGTCGTTTAGATAGTATCTCAAGAATTCTCATATCTATTCTCGAGGGCAATTCACACAGTATTATTTCACATGTTTGCATCTCAAGTTTAACGGCTCTGCTCTGATGCAAGGGGTAAGTATAGGTAAGTCTTGGAGAATTACACCGCTAGTAGATGAAATGATTCAAGCATGTGTAGCGTAAACCTTGAAATGGTGACAGTACCATGCCCATCCATGCCCAACACCAGGCCTTGCAAGAACAGTGGCATCATCGCCCTCGTCGCTCACCTCTCCAGGTTTGCTGATTGGATTCAAGTTTGGAGTTGCCTGCGCTAGCCACATTGAGGAGCACATTCCAAGAGTTGGTAGTGTAGGGCGCAGGGGCATGAGAAATCAACCGTATACAAAAAAATAGCACACACACACACACACACCCATGCACGCACCACGCACTCACGCACGCACCACGCACACGTACACACACACGCACACGCACTGCCGAGAGCCCACCGACCAATCCAACAAGTCAACCATAGAAATCTCCGCTCCAAATTTCGACAGGTCACCAGAAGGCGGACCTGTGTGGAAAACGCTTCGCACTGCTCGCTGGTCAGTACGGCACACATTATTTTTGGAGGCCTAGATCGACCTCATCCACCTCAGCCGAAGCCGCTCTTCATGCGCGGCTTCAGGTCGAAGGGGCCGATTAAGCGCCTGGATGAGCTCAATGCTACCATCCATGCTGGCACAAAGACAAGCCTGTCGTCGAAGGATCGTGAAGGCTCGTCAGGGCTCTCAAAGGGTGGACACTGAGACTGTTCAAGGGGTCAGGGGCATACTAGCAGTCTAAGTGGGTCAACGCTTGCTTGGTATATAGACCTTCTCTATATCACACATATACATAAACTATATATATTTATATATTTATAACCCAAACGTGGAAACAAGGTGGACCATTAAAAACATCAAAGTACCAAATTCTATTGAGCGAAAAGCTGATAAATGGATACATGCTGAGAGCAAGTTTAGAGCAATGGATCAAGAGCTGGGTGCCCGGACCACTTGTGACGTTCGCGGACCGCGGACCGATGAAACGAAGAAGAAGCGGTGAAACAACGAACCACAGCCGAGCCTGCTGGTTGTCTTGGAGGGCGGCTAGGGCAGCAATGCTGGATTTCCCAGTGGCACGAAGTACTTGAGTTTCCTCAGAAGTGAAGCGAAGGCAGCAGCCACAGGTGGTATCAGGTGATCAATCGTATCATGTACCATGACATGGTATGTCCTAGTCCCTCAGTGGATGATGATGGTTCAGTTGCAAGCCGACACCTCTTTAAAAGACAGTGATTTGCTCGTTTACCGACTGTTACAGGTGTTCTGGAACGCCACCAAAGTCGCACACTCACCAAATCATGACGCGATGAGAAGATGACTGGAGTCTTGTGAATCGTATTTGCGGACCTGTGTCTTGAAAAACTCAGTCGTCCACTTCAATCTCTTCATTGCACGAAACCGCCGGGGCAGGGATTCGTCCCCAGCACGGACAGCCCACCAAGGCCCCAGCTCTACGAATCATCTTTCACTTCCTGTCAGTGATGGTCAGTGTTTTTGGGCTCTAAGACTCGCTGAGATCGTCTCGTTGAAGCAGCTGCAGACCTCCTTGGTCATCACCCAACACGAAGGCCTGGGACGCGGTTGATGCCACGAAACCGAAACCGATTCAACACACACAGCCCCAGCATGATCGACGATCTCACAGCCGACCCACCGCAAGCCAGTTCCACGCAAAACGGCGAGAAAGAATGGATATTGGTCGAATCCTGCAACTCTGGAGGTTTTGTCACTAGGATTCACTGGGTCACAAGCGTCCCCTCGGCCTCACACGTGGCAAACTATCGTCCGTGGACGCTGCTTCATGACATTGCAGGGTAAAGTGCATTGAGGACCCTCGGGTGTACGAGACTGTTACACCGCTATATACTTCTTTGCCTCACACACTCTTGACCTTAAGAATCTCTCGCACACTCTACCACACATGCTGAAACAACCCTCCTCCATGCTGCAAAATGCTCAAAACAGCTACATACTAATCCCTGTCTTCTTCCACATCTACTCATCCCAAAGCTTGCGGTATCTCGCAGGAGTCCGTATTTTTGCGATGATCCGGTCCCCTTTTCTCCGCACCTCACATCCCAAAAGAGCCGCTGCTTGCAGAAGGCGGCCCTTTCCGAGTCGTTGCGATTGGGCTAAGATTTGACCTTAGCGCACTGACTTAGACGACCGATGACTACGGCAAAAACCGTGGTCCCTTGCGGCAAACACCTCAAACACCTCACAGAAAACACACCTCAAACACGAAGATGCTGTCAGTTTTCTGGTTGTGAGCCCCGATGACTGATCGGAGCACCGCCCAACGTGCTGAGCTAGATCAGGCCAGTACCCGTCCTTACAAAACAACAATGCGTTTTCTGAAAATGGTTGAAACGTGAGCTTTTCTGCTTGCAGGGTCAAACAGTCTGAGACCGCCAGCGTCCGAGGTGCCAGTGCTGCTGCGGTGACAGCGGACCTCACCACTGTGGAGCAGCGCAAAGGTCACTGAGCCGTCCATGAAAAGCAAGCAAACCTGCAGCTGCTGCAGCTAGGTGGCTGGAAAGAAAAGAGCCAAATGTGAAACGTACTATAGTATGACTGTATTTGGAGACGTCCAAAGGACAGTAAGGAAAGTGGATGATTCTGACAAATCTTTCACGTCATTTCTGTCGTTATTTTTGTGTAATGTTCCTTGTTGGGATGTTTGCATGTTCTAAGCGGATGCTCTTTTCCGTCTTGTGCCGCTTCGTTGAGGTACCAAAGTACTTACAGCACCCTCTTGAGTACAGCAAAAGGCCTTGTGAGGCTCTGCATGTTCCCACTTCTGACATTACCTGCACCATAGAAAAATATTTGCCAAGCAAATCTGAAGGATGCAGGTGATGGCTGGCAAACGTGCACCACTGGGCCGCCTGAGATTCAGCTAGAGTTGGCGATGCGTGTTTGGATCCGAGGTGACATGGCATTTCTCTTAAAATCTGGAGAACTCACAAAATAACCATCATGTTGTCTCTCAGAACGATCTGAACCAGTGGATCGGGTCCCCGACATCCCAGCGGGTTATCTATAGCTATACATATACATGTTGGCGTGCGAACATGCGGGCTTTGCTCCTCATTGAGTGTCATCCCATATCGCTGTGCCAAAGCCCTGCAAGCTATGTTATGTCTCAAAATGCTACAAGAATTGAGTCGAATATGGTGGAATAGTCAACCAACTACATAAAAAGGTTGACCCTACGCAGCCGAGTAGGGAGTAGTCGAGCCATCCCAGAGTCCATCGCCGCAATCCATCTTTCGCCAGTGTGAATGAGTGATGTGCTTTCTCGGGAAACATTGCACCCCGTGGGGGTCGATGAAGCACAGGTCGATTTGCCACAGAAATGTTGCGAACATTCTCAGGACCCATCATCATAAGCGATGCAGATTTGTTCCTCAATCAAAGGTGGAAAGGTTACCCGTGTAGCAAGGTCCCTAAAGAACATGCTTCGGTGACGAGTGAGCCATGGCCATCTGGTCTCAAGATGCACTTCGTTGAACTCAATGAATGGCAAATATGGCAAATGTTTCTGAGACTCACAGTATGGCCCGCTGTATCAAACATGTTGTTGCAACGGGGGGAGGCTTCCACCTTGATCACTTCTTCCGGATCACGTGTGCTGGGTCGGATTGGCTGCCAAAGCCTTCACCAAACACCAACACTCCAACCTAAGCGATGGCCTCCAACCAACTTAAGAGCGATGGCCACCTAGTTTCAGAATGTTTGTCAGAACCTCTTCATTGTTCCACTTCTGAGGCCTTTTCTCAGCTCTCTCCCTCCCCTTTTCTGACCCAGCCGCATGCGGAGCATGCGGAGCCACAGCCCTGGTTGCCTTTCGCTTTCTCAGCATACAGGGTCTGAGCTGAGAGCATAAACCTCCTAAGCCGCCGTGACAAATTGGACGATGAACGAAGCTGATCGAAGCTGGACAGAGCACTGGACCTTGGCCTTTGATTAATTTGTTCCCTTTCGTGATGTTGGAATTGCGAGACCTTTGGAACCAAAATAGCTAGCACATCTGCACGGGCAAGGGGAAGTGCGCCTTGTCAGCATGAGATCGCACAAATGACGTGGAGAGCAGTTCCTGAAGTCTGCTCCTGGCTGCGTTAGGACACCGTGCCTGTCCTAAAGGTGCCGTGTCAGACTCGGTGCCCCAAACGTGCGAAACAAACGTGCCGTGAAACATCAGTGCCTCTGCACGATACTTGGATTCATCAGGCTCTCCACATACAAACAACACTTGCGGAACGGGATGAAAATGAGGTTCGGAATGGAGCTCCCAGGCCGAACTCAGCTCCTGTGGCATCAGCATAGGCCAATTCTCTGATGCCTTGGGCAATCGGCAGGCAGCCCCAGTCCTGGTGGAACAGTGCCGCACTGTTAGGTGGTGTCTATATGCGAAAAACAATGACAAGCAATGCATATAAAATTGTATAATATATATATATATATATCACGGTAGTGTATTAATTGAGAGCACATTCAGGAAACACGGTGTCCATTTCAAGACCTGTATCTCAATGAAGCATTCTCCGTCAATCGTGGCAATTTGGGAAACATAGTTCATTGAACATACTAATGTGCAACACCTTGAGGACCTTGACTGCTACCCGTCAAACAGTCCTTGCAAGACATGGTGGCTGACACCTTGGGCAATAGGACTAGTAGCGATGCACTGGATACTAGTAGCGATGCCCTTGCTACTAGTAGCAATGCACTTGTTACTAGGTGATGTTTGGATGTGTGAGGCTCTGAGATAACCTTCACACTCCTTCACTATGATTCAACACGACACGCATAGGATGAGAGTTTTTTGACACAAACATCACACGCACCAGATTTCACCCCAGCCGCCGCACCAAAAGCTCCAGCGCTCCACAAGGTGTCGATGGCCAGTTCCAGCGGCAATAAAGACCAAACATCCTGGCCTGTCCAGCTTCTTGTTCCTAGTAGATCCTTGCTCCTACTAGTAAGGCCAGGAGCCCCTAGTAGCGGCCTTGCTCCTAGTAGCCGCGATGCCGGAGCCCCTAGTAGATTCTTGTTCCTATAGCAAAAAAGACCAAACATCCTGGCCCGTCCAGTCACAGTCTCCCCGCGGGGTCAATGACGACATCCGAACGAAGGAGATCCTCGCCTTGCATCCCGGCCGACAGAAACCGTCGTGCGGCATCGTGATCCTCGTAGTCGTAGACGGCTCGCTCGCCACCTGGCAAAGACACATCATTCACCTGGACCAATCTGGACCCCATGCGTGCAAGACTTGTTGGAAAAACACTTGCTGACTCTTTGGAGGGGTACTTCTTTGCACTGATCTTTCAATCGATTTACTTTAGGGCTCTTTATGGGAAAGACAGCTGCTTCGACGCCCACCGCAGCGTCACGCGAGAAAACGCTGCTTGGAGTCAAGTCACACAGGACGAACGCAATATTTTCCGACGCCGACTCCAGTGCAGCCTTTGGATCACCATGGACCTCGCGTGAGATCGTTGGTTTGGGATGGTTTGGGAGGATGTTCGGAGCTGCGACGGGCTCGCCTCTCAGGGTTCGCCCACAGGGTAATTTTGATGGCTAACCCAATGGCACGGCCCAAAGAAGGAGGCGGCCGACTGTTTTAGGGTCTTTTAGGGCATGTGCAGCCTGCGCAGCGGTGCCCAATTCCAGTTTGAGGCAGAGTCTATCACTTTTTTAGTAGAAGTGGCAGCCCTCGGAAATTCGAACATGAAGCGGCAAGCTTACTCAAGCAGGGGCCGAAGGCCCGAAGTCTGAGAAAGAGCCGTTTGCTCGGCCATGCAACTCTAGAAGAGCATGCATACTGCCCACGTTTGGGTGCTGGTGTTGCTGCACGATCGCGATCCGGCAATCTCTCAGGCCTGTGACACTGATGTTTCATGATGCCGGGAGACGTTCGTTTTCGTCTCATCCTCATCCTCAAGAAGCTCAGCCGAGGAGCGTGGGGAGGGAAGGTGGCAAACACTTCATCTTTGGATCTTCAAACCATGGAGCAGCTCCATGTGGCTGAAGGACGGCCGACCTAGCCGGTAAGGAAAAAAGGCACTGCGCCAATGGACCCTCCACAGTTCCTGCCGCGGTTGGTTCGCGACCCAAAGCGGTGTCCTTTGCCATGTGTTCACTGACAGGAATGGATCGAAAGAGCTGCCCCACTTGCCGTGAGGCATCTGGTGACCGGCGACCGGAGCGACCTCCACGGGCGACGACTGACTTCAGTCTCTTCAGAGTGATCCACCAGGAGCTTGGTGCATCGGCGCGTCCAACTCGCTGCTCTTCAGTTGCAGATTGGCTCGCAAATGGGGAGGTAGCTTTGATTTTGCTTCTCCCCCCACAGTCGAACAAAACCCTTAGAGTTGGCTGAAGCCGCCATCAAAACTCTCCTCACAGAGAGACACATCAAATGCATGCTAGGAACTCTGCAAAGTCCATCTAGTCACTTAGTTTACAAGCTTGTAGCCACTGCATTGTCAATTATGCAGCCATCCATATTCTTCCCTCTACCCTTGACCCCAATGTTATGTCGGGCACGCCAGCCATAGATACAAGGAGCCAAAATAACTTATAAAGCAAAAACAAAAGGTAAAGCATGTTCAGGTTCATGTGCTTTTGTTTTGCTTTTTTTCCCGCGTTTTTTTCACAAAAACAAATTATTTGATGGTTGGTCATGTATGGCTGCCACTGCCCAACATAACCCCAATGGCTTTCTCCGGACACCTGGCATCCCAAGTGGCAAGCCCAGGCATGGCAGCCCCACGCCGCGCGCGCAAGGAGTATCTGGAGAGGTCCAAGTCATGCCGATGTCGGCACTGAGCTCCCCATTTGCCTCGAGGGTCGAACACCCGAGGACGCCCAAACCGATAGGTCTGCCGACCGATAGGTCGAAGGACTGTCTGACTGCAGTGTCTGAGACCAACATGCAGACACTGCAGTCAAACAATCCTATGGCATTGCCATAATCTTATGGCAAACAGTCTATTGACATGACATATCAATAATTTAAATCTTATGGCTGTTGCCTGATGACACTGCCTGACTGGACCCTCCCGACGGTTCTTGAGGCGAGCAAACCAACCATTTCCCCGCACAAGTAGTAAAGAACACATCGCAACACACCGCTTCTGCATCGTTGCCAACACCTCAACGTTGTACCTCCCAAGTCCCCCCGCGTGTTTAATTAGCTACTGTATTGATCTTCGATGATCTTCGTGATCTTCCAAGCTCCAGCTCTTCACCCAAGTCCCAACTCTGAACGTTTCACCCCTAGTTCTGTCCCAAGTCCCGAGCTGATTCTGCCAAGAGTCAGGTACCTGTTCGAACCCAGAAACGACAAAGCACCGCTTCTCCGCCATTGGGCTCAAACTGAAAGACCTGAATTATCTCACAGTCTCACAGAATGCAAGAAATACACAAACACATGATTAGAACTATCTATCATACATTTACTTATACATCCTATTAGTTTTAGATAGACTTAAAAACCAGGCAGGCAAGGGATGGCTCTCTGCATTTGGTCCGCTTTTTGGAATTGCCGCTGTCTGAAGTAACATGTCCCCTGAAATCGTTCAACACTTTCCAAAAACGAGCGGCATGACAGCATATGACAACCTTACGCATATGCCAATAAGGTAACTACAACGAGCGACATGCGTTTTCAAGTTGGGTTTCCAGGTCTGAAACGGTTTCGCCATCCGTTTATCAAGCACTGGTGAAACCCAAGTAAGCCAAAACCTCGTCGACAAGTGGTTTGACCGGTGGACCTCCACAGCAAAAAATGGCACAGGTGTCGCCAACACGCGGTAAGCTCACTCATGGCTGAGATTGCCAGGGATCAGCCGATTGGATTTTCAAGTGCCGAGCACAAGCACATCCCCATTCCCTGGTCAAACGCCCACGCCCTGACCGAAAAGGGTACAGTACGGGTGGATACCCTACAGTAGTACCAATACTGTTCCAGCCATATGAAGAGCTCCAGTGACCTGAAGATTCTCAGGATCCTCGCCAAACGCGGCCTGTAAAGCCTGCTGAACAGAGATTCGCTCAGCCATTGCACAAACAGGAATGTTGAGCTGGATGTTTCTGATCCCTTGTGCCATACATGTAACCAATGTAACCTGAAACCACCCAAAACTTGTGACCTTTCCTGCAGGGATCTGGGACTGCGTGTTTTGAGACCGGAGTGGTCGGTGAATTTGAGTCAATTTTAGTGTTGATTCGTCAGGTACGATTTATAACGATTTGACCATGACCTTTGCCTAGTATATATCTACAACCACGGGGCGTTCGGGCGGGGAGCACAGGAATTCCTGTGCTCCGAAAATGCCCAGGAGACAGAACACCCCTAGACTAGAGCCCAAACAACAGTGCACATTGCGGCGAAGTCAGCTGAATTCATTTGACGCATCTCCCAAAAAGATGGATTGGTGTCACTGAGCCATCCTCAAGCCCTGAAGTCTGGTTCCATCTTTTGAGGAAGGGTGCTGAGTCCAAGTCGAGAAAGTCCAATGCAAATTGACTGCTACATTGATGGCAACAAAGCAGCCATAGCATGGTCAACAAAGGAGAAAATCGTCGCACCAACTTCTCTGGGCCTCTAGATTCTCAAAGGGCCGATAACATCCCGCACTCAACCCTCAGATGAGACCCCTCTAATGGTCACCACATCGTGAACCTGCGCGCGAATGTTTTGTAGAAAACTGCTTCTGACTGCAATGAACGACTGTTTTCTGAGCTTCTCTCAAGGCCAGTTCTGATTCCGGCGGCAATTTGAAGTTGCAAGATTCAGGCACGAACAGCGCATCCCTGCAAAAGGTTGTCCAAGTTCTTTCCCCGGCCACGTAATTTCGACCTCATAAGATTGAATCGTTCTTGCTCTCTTAGCAGATGTCAATCATGTTGAAACGGTGCATGAGATGCATCTGGGAAAAGCAACCAAAACAGTACGAGAAGGACCTTGCGATCAAGCATCGCTCTACCATCAGCGATCGAATGATGGCTTTCTGCTTCTCTGTCAGCACGACTTGGTCAAAAAGGCTTCTGCACCGGGCACTTGTGGAGCTGGCCTCCCTTGACCCAGAAATTAAAAACAATACATTCCATATATATATATATCTATCATATATATCATATATATATATATCATATATACATATATATCCATAATATCATTCCTTACCATGCTGTTCAAGGCCGCAAATGCCCGTGCTCCAGGCGCCCGGTGCACGATCTCTTCGATCCGCCTCTATGCAATAAAAAGCGACCGAGGCAGTGGCCCCGATCCGCGGCGGGCCGGGTTTTGGGTTGAAATCCGCGAAGGTACGAAACAGAGCGAAATAGAGCGAACTGTTCGCGAAATAACACGGTTTGAAATGTCTTTGATCTATTCATCCTCTCAATTTGCATGGAAATAGCTCTTCTTTGATCTTTCCTGGGTCCGGGGCCAGCACAGCACGCAGCTGTGACTAGATAGTAATTACCAGGTACGCCACTCAAGAAACGCCCGGCTCACCATCTGATTTAGGCGCGTCAATCCGTGCAGCGAAAATGCCTTTGGACCCCAAATGGCCAATCTGCTGATGATCGCAAACAAACATCAGAACCGACATCACCATCCATCAAGAGCCCAAAGATTTAACGTCCTTCGCCATGGCTGTGCAGTTGCAGCTTGGGAGAGGAAGGCCGTTTGTCTTTAGCACATACGTGTGGCGTAGAATTTCTCAGATCGCCTAAGTATCCCTGGACACCTTGATATTATGTAAGGTTACCGTGTTGGCTGAACACATCAACATGCTGTAAAATGTTTAGAGCACTGTTTGGAGCATCTTGTCTGGGTCCAAAGGTCATGGATCTCCAGGTTCGGCCCTCACAATCGAAACAAACCTAGCATCCTCAGCTTGCGACCAACACAAAATATGCAAAAGCAAGGGGCCATGACCCGAGTACTAGAGTACCTATTATTTTAAAAATAAACTCATGTCGGACCCCCTGCTAGCACGGTTTACTGTTGTTCTTCAACTATGCCCAACTCGCATTCCTCCGGGCGGGTCACACCCTCGGTCACCCCGACTTGGGCGTTCCCGGCACCGCTCCGGTCTTGCTTTAAAGGGAGAGGCCATGGTGGTTTTAATGGGTGGAAGGGAGAAGACAAATAGATCAATCCTCAATTGGTCAAGTCAATAGAGCCAATGTGTCCATGGAACTTATTCATGGGCACCACTATGAATGGGTACTTGCAGTCAATTGGGATAACCGTTTCTACACAGAAATGGAAGCAAATCACATCCATGGAAGTGCCTTCATCTCCACAGCAAACAGCCGGCATTGTAGAAAAACAACCCAAGCGCTATATGTTCACAAGTCCTTCGTGCAGGGTCAAATGCCAAAGACCTGCATCTAGCCGGTGTAGATGCACCGCTTGACTCACTAACAGCTCTCCGGATCTAACAGCTCTCCGGCTTCCGCCCAGGACGGTCAGTCTGCCTTCGACTTCAGGGGCTTAGACCGACTTCGCCAAGGACCAGGGACGTCCGGAAGCAAATTCCGGGACGTCCCGTGGAGTCGGAGGCTCGGAATCCAGGTTCATGTGGGCACAAGGAGCGATCGGACGCTACGAACGGGGCTCCTGGCATCGCTACTAGGAACAAGAATGTTACTAGTAGCAAAGGGCCTTACTACTAGGAACAAGGTTCGCTATTAGAAAGAAGAACAAAATATCTAATTAGAATCCAGAATTAGGCCTAAATGTGTTTGTCTGCTTCTTAGTTTCTTCCTCAAGGCATGGCCGGATCGTGGCCGATTTGAGGCCATGAGTCGTCCTTCTCAGGTTCCCATACATGGTTCCCATATGTAGTGGATACAGAAACACCCCCCAACAGGTCTGGTCTCCTATGATGGTTTGTTTTGCAGACTTCGAAGTACCTGTTGCAAGGTGCTGATGGTATGCGGCATATATATATATTATATTACAGTATACATTAGTATTTATTTGATATGAATAGACTAGATCAATATAGATCATATATCTGTGATTATCTGTGTGCGTCCCACGGTTCGATGATCTGCGAAACAGCACGGGTACCCTTTCCCGGTACCGTTTCGAAGGCACTTCTTCTCTGCTCCGGCGGGTGCCATCTTCGGTGCCGGCGGCCCCGCGCGGAGCTGTGAATCTGTTCTGCACATGAGGAGCAATTTGCCACCGCCAAAACACATCCAGTCAAATGATCAATTACAGTATAGTTAAAGAGATGATTCCTTCGACTCCTTGACTCTTCCCGGAAACACCGACCATCACTGACGACAGCAATGACAGTCAGTGTCATGGCCATTGCTCCTCCATCTTCGAACTCGCGGTGAGCAAACTCACCCGCCCGGCGTTTGGGGACCAACTTTCGCCCCAGTGGTTCCACAATCCAACAACCGATTTGAGGATCATCCTGCATCCATTCTAAGACTCTACGCTGGTAGCTCAGTAGATTGGACATGATTGGACACAGTTTTTCACCGGGCTGTGAAGCATCTCTTCTCACCTTGATCGCTTCAAAGCAGAGTCTAGAGATTCACTGCACACCATGGATCGTTCGACCCCCCCAAGCATGGATCGATGCGCCGGAAACATGTGTCAAGTACTCAATGTCTAAGACTTCTTGAGCCTACAATGTCTTGGCCAACCTCATCCATTGATGGCTGACCGTTAGCTTCCGGTGCTGGATGGTTTCTTTGCTTGAAATTCTTGAAAGATTTCCTAGTCTCACCTACGAGTCGAATCTTCCTAGTCGGAGATGACCACATGCAGCAATTACCTCACAAAGAGCCAACACCCAGGTTCTGAATCCAACACCGAGCCAACGACATGACCTGCATTATCATTATTCACAAGTGGAAAACGCCCAGTTGAAAGCCAATTGTGCTCACAATGGCCACGCTGAAGTACACAAACTTTTGGAGCACCTCGGTAAGGTTGGATGATCCAACGACAAAACCAAGTGGCAAAGAATGGCTTGACCCAAGCTATAACTTCCGGGAGCAATTGTCAAAACAAGAAGCTACTAGTAACAAGTGCCTCGCTGGTAGTAACAGGTGCCTCGCTAGTAGTAACAAGAAGCTATTAGAAACAAGAAGCTACTAGGAACAGGCTTAAATTGTAACAAGAAGCTAGTAGAAACAAGTGCCACGCTAGTAGTAACAGGTGCCTTACTAGTAGTAACAAGTAGCTAGTAGAAACAAGTGCCAACCATGTCCTATACGGAGAACTCCCTGCGACGACCAGGGGGTTCTCCAAGAGTAAACAGTCGTGTCGGACGTGGTGGGGCAAACTTAGCCATTTGGACGACCTAAAAAAAGCTAGCCATGCCCAAATAGACCACATATGACCACATGACCTCCGTTGCAGTTTTCACATGCGCAGTTTCCATATCTCCAATCCGACGGCCCAACACCAGATACGGCGCGGTGCAACAAGGCCAAGACACCCCGATACTGACACGAGTATCCCACATGAAGAAACCAGATTCCTTGGCTGCTTCAGTCTGGATGTGAGATGGGCTCGGCCAGGGCTCTTGTCAAGCAAGACTCTGAATCCTACCCCAATCGTCCAAGGGTCACAAAGCGTGAAGAAGTGTGCCAGCTCTAAGAACTTCTTTTCCTCCTCTTCCTCTGCAAGTTTGTGGGGCAATGCTGCACGGAAAAATCTGTCGATGATTGATCGAAGTCACGGTCTTGAGATCTCTAAACAAGAGTTGAAAAAAAATGCCTCGCATCGACCCGATGGATGGAAGGAAAGAAACTCAACCGGATCGGATGCGATTGCGAAGTCGTCCTCATCCCCGTCCACCATGCTCACCAATGATGGGAGCCGGGTACCTCAGTCGAAGAGTCACCAAATGTCAGCAGGTGTATACGATGAGTGCACTAATAATCACTGTGGGATGTCAAGTCGTAACCGGCCACCGGTCTTGTTTGATCTTCTCATGCGAAGACCTTCTCATCTCAGTTCCGTCTCGGGGAAATCATCTCTTTCTCGTACATTCTCTGAACTCACCACCTGATCTGCTTCCAAGGCACAGTGAGCCGTTGCGGAGGCAGCCATGAAGGAAGAACTCATCAATGCGACTGCGAGAACCAAACTCGGCAAGGTGGGCAGCACCTGGTCGCAGCCCGTCGCGTTCAAACGGTGAACGCGTTCACGTCGCATCACTGCTTTTTCACCGCTGATTCTTTCAGCGGTGTCATGGTTGGCAATCCGAAGGTTCGACCTCTTCTGATGGGCAGGGAGGAGTTGAGCAATCTTCCGATGGGTAGTTGTTGATGTTCGAGCTGATGCACTCTGTACACACCGTGTCCTTGATATATTCTTCAACAAAGCGAAGGAATTAATAATCCACTTGGAACCACAGAGGAAGCCACAAATTGTAGGTCCAAAAACTGATATGTTGCTGGAATATGCTAGAATATATATCTATAGTATTACTCACAGTATTTCACAATGATGCTGAAAACCAAAGCATGTGACTAAGTCTATGAAGGTCCTATAAATTCATAAAAGCACGTGTAGACCTTTGGGCGTGGCATCGCATTGCATTTCCGAAGAAACACCATGGCTTCGGGCCATGGCGAAGCCGATCACCGACTGAGCACTGCACCTCACCCTGACCAATATCGATCAAAGCACCGAAGAAGACCTCCGATCGTGCGGTGCATCTAGTATAGTGACATTCCCAGCAGTCAAAATCACATCCTTCCTGTATTAATGCATGTCTGTTCTATGGTATAGTCTCTACATCATCCTGAAACGGCATCAGTATCACCATCGTTAGTGTTCAAAGCACAATAACCAAGCACGGAGATTTACGCATTGGCCGTGTTGCCAATCTCTCCTCCGCTCTGTTTCACGGCCATAGAAAAACAACTCTCTTTCATCAGAAGGTGCGGTGTTTTGCCCAGGTGCCAAGAGTGTGGTCATCAGAAGAACCGCAAAGGATCGCTGGTAGACACGCGAGGTCACTCTCATCAGACTCACCGCCTTGACGCGCAGTTCGCCGGGACCCTTCTAAGAATGACTCGCAGCAACGCCGGCGACGCGTGTGTCCCTGTAAGACGGTGTTTGAAGGGTGAAGACCAGCTGGTTTAGAGCACCAAAAACGCACGGGTCACTGTGCCAAAGCAGTGGCGACCTGTGCGAAACATCATAGCAGTGCCCTTCTGCGAGAATGTTGACTTGTCTCACTGCTCAATTTGTCTAAGTTCTTGCTAATGAATTAAGCTCTCTCTGCCTCCCATGATTTCGGCATGTCTGATCCGTGAAGCGCAGGCCTCGCGCCAATTCCTCCTTGATGTTTGCACATCCCACCTTCCACTCAGCAAGGACTGAGCAAACCAAACGATCCTCAGTGCTGCAGCGCATCACAAGGGAGATTGGCAGGACGCTCTGCTTGAAGCTCTGCTCGGCTGCGGCCCATCGGTCCATTTTTGGAGAAAAAACAGTGTATAGAGTTCTTCTTCGAATCGAACTTCATATAGGCTTTCAGAGACGCTCATATCGCACTTCAAGACCCTCCGTGTTTCACAGTCGGATGAAAGGTCGTTTCACAGTCGGATGAAGTGTGAAACACGTCCAAAGCGATCTGGTGTCAAGATCAGTGCCCTCTCCGATGAGTGTCACAATGCCTCAAACTCGCACCCAAATGCATCCAAATAATTTCTGCCCGGACCATCCAATGGTTATATACCAATGGACTACCCTCGGCTACTTAGGGATCTCCATTGGACACCCTTTGGATGGTCCAGGTAGATGTATTCAAGGCTCACCATTGTGATTCCATGCCAACTCGTCAGCTGTAGGTAGCACATGGCTGACAGGCAGGCCGTTGCAATGGCATACCCCACGATTTCTATCACCTTCCAGCAGGGATGAACGGCTGACTGCAATTTGTTGGAGCCTAAAAGGCTAATTATATATAACTACGTGCACATTGCTTAACAACAAAAACTAGATTTTTGCTGCAAAGTTGGTTTGTGAGGCTTTAAATATATCCTAAGTTCCTGTGATCAGCCATCATGTCCCCTGGTGCGTGGGCATGTTCACTTTGGAAAGGCAGTACAGGTCCAAGACGACTGTAGCAGGTCTTTCAAAGTCGGAAAACAACCTCCGGCGATTCCGATCCAAATGCATGAACATGTCCGTTCTGCCGTGCGCCTTCACCTGCGAAAGTGAGCATTCGTCCAACATGAGCCACGTCTTGACGCCCACTACCACAAGCCACAGCAAGATTGCAATCCTGAGCTCCAAAACCAAACTGCAGCACCCGCCCTGTGGGCGCATCAAAGCAGGAATCTGGTTAACAAGTTAACCAACAGTTTCCAGTTTGCACCTCAGTACTTGTTGCCCTTCCGAGTGTCAAGGCATTCCGACCCTGTCGCTGTTTCCATCGCATCGACAAGCCTCCACCGTGTGAGCGAGACAGATTCGATTATTCAGCACAACATGGCGGGCAAAGTGGACTTGGCTGGTGCTTTCGTTGGAGATGTGTCTCAAATGAAGTTGCGGCATGGCACGGCAGGTGGAAGGTGACAGCCTTAAGTTAAGAAGAACCTCTTCAGTTTCAAACGCTTTCGGCCTGTGATGTCCATGAAGTTCTCCAGGTACTCCTCACATCTTGACATCGATTTCGCGTCTTCACGAAGTCACTCGTTCCAATCCCCCCAAAGTCTGTGGAAAACCTCTGACATTGGAATCATAGTCAAACATATATCAAACCTGACATGGAATCATCAGAGTCCAACTCTATTGCCATGTAAATTGGCATGGTGTGACTCTGTTTGACTCAAAACCGCTGGCCGCCATGTGGCCATCAGTGCCTCTTGCTCACTTTCCTCGGGCGCTTTGGTGGGAATCGACACGAATGGCGTGAAGCTCCTCTTCTTGAATTCTGCGGAACAAAGACGTTAATGGGAAATAGAATAAATAAGCGATATATTGAAAGAGGTTAAACTTGGTGTCACCATCTCCGCGACACATGACCCACGATTAGCCGACTTGTCAAGTATATGTTTGTGTATTCTATGCCATCACAATATGTAAGTAAAGTGTCTTTTGGAAAAGGAATGATTGAATGGTGGATCCGCGATCAAGCACATCACGTACTATTTCTACATATGGTCCGTCTATCTCTTCACGGTTACAACTGTCATTTAATAGGTTGAAACTTTGTTCTGTTGCTGTGATTTTAGGGTTATTTCATAAAAGGACCCTATAGGATCCAAGACGTCCTTCTTTACACAAATCATGTCTCTCTCAATGTATATTTCATGTAAACCCTGATGTGATTTTCTAGACCAAACCAGAGAGCAAATATTGATCATGAAAAAGCTTTATGAGGGTCACCGTGGGTCACCCGTCTGCAGTTCTCTTTCATCAGTGCCGCCACCAGGGTGCCGCCACCGGGGTACCGCTTTCCGCCAGCCAAGCGTCCGACTCTTGGCTTCTCGAAGGTGCCGACAGGCAAACCATCAAAGCGCCCAAACAAAGCAACCCGGAGGCGCCAAATCCGGGGCCCAACCACTCGCTGGGCGCATTGGGCGCAGCGATGCAGCCGAAGATGATCAGGCAAACCGTCGAGGCATTCAGTAAAATCATGAACCTTGGCCAGCACCACAGAAGGGGTGGTTATTGGATGGAAAATGCATAGTCAGGGGTGTCCATAAACCACCCGAACTCTGTGGTGCTCAAATCTGGTTCTTCAACGGTCGTGGCCACCTGGGGTTCGGATCTGGAATTCCGACGACTTCAAAAAGGCAAAGAAGCACAAGTTGGACCTGGATCTTTGAATCCGCAAACAGACCCAAGAGCGTGATCTTATAACTTTATTGGCCGTTTTGTGGTTTCAGACCAAACAGAAGTTGCCCATCAAAAGGCGTAAAGAGTTGAAGGAGTTGACCGTTGACCCCCAAGTGTTGACCCCAAATCGGGGGCGATGCTTTCGATCGAGCCACCAACGGTAAGAAGTGGACATCCGCCGCGCACAGCGAGAACACCAGGTGTCCTCCTCAACCGCCGGGCACGGAGTCCAGGGAAGGAGCGCCACTGCATAGATCCAAAACCTCACCACCAGCAACCAGCATCCTGGGCCATCCACGGGCATAGTGCCGGGAGCCCAGTCGGGACTAACTAGGAGCATTTGTCTTACCTCATTGCCCTATTAAGGATGACATGACCTCTATGGGGGCACTGGCAGTTCTGAAAGAAACCCAAATCAACACTTCCAAATTAGGCAAGACGTAAAACTCCAAAGGCATTGTCTTCGGCATCGCTGCATCGTCTTCGGCCGGTCACGGCCGATGCTACGTTCCAAAAACGAAACGATACTCGATGTTACACTGTTGCATGATGTTACGTTTGGATAAGGATTGGATAGGGCGGCCACCTATTTCACAGTGGAAATTCACATCCCGATACGTTTGGATGTGTTATATGTTCTTGCAGATTCTGCAGATTCACTTGCTGTGGCCCCACCACCCGGTGGATGAATTACCCCTGTTCTCCACCGAAACGGCGCACCGTGGCCCGGTGCCCACCGGGCATCGCAGGTGACCCGATGGTCAGAGCCTGGTGTTGATACATACCTTTTCCAGCATCACGACTGGATCCGCAATCTATAGAGTCTATCTATCTTGCTTCTCCTGGCTGTGTTGCTGCTTCGGAACTGGTCCCTCCCCTCGGCCTCTCGGTGGCTTTTCGAAGCAAAACGCCTTGTCCGCCAAGGATCTCAGCCAGCATGGCTCGCCGTCCTCGGAGGAAAAACGTTCGCCCCCTTTGAAAAATGAGTGCTGTAACATGTTTTCATCAACGGGACATGGCTCGCTGGTAGGAGACCGTCACAATATCATACATCCTTGACATCATGTTTCATGATCCGGAGCCACTGCTCAAGCATCTAATCAGCAAAGATTGCCCCCAAACCCCAAACCCCAAACAAATCCAATCCTGAGAGCTGGGAGAACGATGCATCAGCAAGGAACGCCCCACATCCAAATGATTTACAGCACAAGAAATCTGCTCTTTAACGCCCTCCAAGTTTATAGAATTGGTTTACAAATGTTTACAACCACTTTGGCCACATTGCCATCAAATGGACAAAGACTTACACGTGAAGCAATGAGCTCCAACAGTCATTGGAGGTGTTGATGACGATGCCCCACTCCCAACAACCCATGCCCCACGGAGTTGAGCTATGCGCTCCGCTCCTTCACAGGCTTCTCCCAAAACTCCCAAAATTATCCGAGACACCTGGAGAAAACTACATCCCCCTTTCTGCCTATCAAACACGTCACCGGTCGTATAAGTGCCCAGCCACCATCAGCGCTTCCTTTCCTTCCGTGGTCGTAAGCCTCGATCGGCCGGGTCCACTGAGAATCGACGTGTTCAAAAGGCTTACGAGGATGTTAAAAGGTTCATGTTCGTCGGAAGGTGTCTTTGTTTGCTTACTTGCCTGCTTCTTTGTATCTTTGTGTATGTTTGTATGATGCATGCCATGCATGTATGATGTGCACACTTTGTTTGTGGTTCTCCACCGGTCAACGCCCCACAGAATCCATTGGCCATGTGGCATGGTCGGGCTTTCTTTGGTGTTGGAGGTGAGGGTCTTCGTCTTTGGCATCAGCTGCGTCTCTCGGTCGCGAAAAAGAGCACTCATGGACATCTCCTGCTCAGTGCTCAGTACCTGGCCGTGTGGTTGGGACATCAAACCGCCCTCCACAAATCAGTCGAGTCAATGGGGCGAACCATTTCCAACCCACCACTGCCACCCAGCAACTTTCTGCTAATTAGACCGTCCCAACGCTCTGGTCGACCAAGGCCAGTTCCTTCTTGGGCTCTCGGCTTTTTTGATCCACGGCCATTTTTGAGAATTCAATAGAAATCATGCCTTCGCCAAGGTGATTTAGCTCCACTTGAATGAGCTGGCCCCACAAAGCATGGTCGTGAATCTCTGCGAGTAGCGGGGCATGAGAAGATCTGAAGTCCAGCCATCACCAAAACTTTCGGTCGACAAACAGGCATCAACTATAACTAGCCTTAAGACAATGAACAGAGCCCAAACGATGCGAACTGGTTGCTGCGAACTGTTTGTGCTGCCCTATGTATGGTTGACTTGAATGATTGAAAACTTGTCAAACCAGCAGCCAACCTGGCAATCCCAGTCCCGTACCCTTGAAGAACTTCTTCTGCCGCCTTGGCCTTGCTGATGTCGGAAAAAGCTTCTGGGCTTCCTTCTGGAACCACCAAGGATTTCCTCCGTGGAGCCTTCCTCGGTGGTTCCCGAGCGATCCCAAAGCGGTGGATGTGTTGGTTCCAAGGAACTTTCAATCAAAAAGAGGCTATGATTAAGTAACACTTTAATACGCAACCAATCAATACCCTGCAATCATTTCAACAAATGTGAACTTCCTAAAGCAAAAGTGAAAAGGACCTTTCTTCATGGTGGAGCTTCCCCATTCTCGCCAGGATTCATCGAAACTGACGGTTCAGGATTGTGTGAGGAGAAACTTCTGGACACAGAGGCGCTAGCGCTCCTCGGCAAAGCATCTGACACCACTTCAAGAGTCAGAGTTGGTCAAACTCTACAACAGGAGAGTCGCTTGCATTTTAATTGCATGTTGTGGTATGTTTGGAGCTCAGGGGGGCACAGTCTATGAGAAAAGGGGGGTCAACATCATGAAAATACTTGTCGGCTTTATGGCAAATATGTGTTTTTTGTGCCCTCTTCAGCGTTTTCTCGACTCACACACACACACACACCAATGCCTTGGATCAATGTATGCCGGGCAGTGGGCACACTCTGATCAATGCAAAATAGGCTTGTCTTGGAGATTGATGGAGATAGTATGCGCATGACGAGGGGACGGGGTCAACCAAAAATCAAACAACATGCACGTTTCACTTGAGGCGGGGATGAAGTGAACGACAACGTCCGCAAAGTGGATCAAAAAGGTTTGCCATGGTTTGCTACCCTTTCCTTCACAATTTAGTCATTCCCTGACTCTGTCAGACGCCAAGCTGCTCCATAATCTTTCGAGTCATTCCTCGTCTCAAGATGCTTCCATCCACACAGGCATCAATTTGCCGAAAGGAGCTCAGGGACTTGCTGCTGACCTCGGACTTGTGTTGGGCGGTTCAAACACGTAAACAAAATCAATCGCCACATTTTCCTACTACACATTCCAGAGTTTGGAGCTCTAGTAGGGCCAGGTAGGGCCTGTAGAAATAGGGACGGGTGTTGGTAGGAATGTCCAATTTTGTTGTCAAATGCTGATAAAAACCTGTACTTTATGGTGCTTTATGAGTGTCATAGGCTCAGACACACAGTAAACCGCACATGTTTGTTGGAAAGCAAGTGCGCCCAAGAGGAACTCAAAAAGGATATAGATATAGTTGGAAATCAAAAGGATCTTTCAAAGGAATTATATAATAGTTATCAAGATACTTTTTTGGTACAATGAAAATAATAGCTATGAATTTAAACAGGGAAAAGTGAAACGCATGGACATTATTACGGGGGGGGCATTAGTAGCAACAGAATCATACCAAAGCAAAAATCAAGACAATATTTGAGAGGGTAATGTCTTTTAAACATGGAAAACGGTTGACAACTGGGTTGACATTACAGAAAGTGTTTAAGCCGAAAAGGCAAACATTATTATAGGGTGTTATATTGTTCAAGGATTCTAGTGTGCTGGGCTACTCCCTTTGTGTAAAGAAATGTATTAGTTTGAAAAGGCCTAGTCGGGAATTTAACATAAGTTAGTTTTAAAAAACCATTAAGAGAAATCAATCAATTACAGTAAATGCAACTTAAAAGCATACAGGGGCTGAGCAGAACGTAAAAGGGACCCAAAAGGGATCACAATGATTTTGCAAGGAACGGCAACAATTAGAATTAACAGAACATTTAAAGAGAGCTGGGGATTGTGGTAGTACACTTTTTTCGTGTTTCTCATATGTTCCTACCTCATTACATTTTTGCAATGGTCCAAATTTATCTACCATATCTTCTTTCAGTGATATTATATGGTCACCTGCTGTGGTACTTTACAAAAGTCTATCAAAGGACCTATATAACAAGCCTTGTTACGATATTTTGATGTACTATGTTTCCAACAAATTTTGAGTGCAGGGCGCTGTGAGTGTGCACCTTTTCTGTGTGTCTCGTATGCTTCCACCTTGTGTCATGTGATCGACATGTAAATGAAGCAGCTCAACTGGTGAATAATTTTGCTTTGCAGTTTTGCAGTTTCATGTTTAGTATATGTTTGTTTGAACAATCAAATTATCATGTAAGAATGGTTTAACAATGTCTTCTTGCTCTGGTAAAGTAAAGCAAGTGAGAGAGGTATAATACAAGTAGTATTTATACTGTAGTTTATGTATACAAAAACTAAAAGTTCAATACATGTTGGTAATACTACAACATTATTCTAATATACAGAAAACAACATTTTATAATACAGTAGTAGTGTTGTTAGGATGATTGTATTGTATTTTAGTAGTAACTGTGTAAACCAAAACTTGTATCTCTGTTTAAGATCAACAAATACAACCTCCAAAGAATCTTCATCAAATGACCCTGTGACCATGTATATCAAATAACATGATTGACATTTGTTGTTTTTGCATCTTGTTGGTTCCATGCTTCTGTCGAGTTATAGTTCATTATACCAATACTTAGTTCATTATACCAATACTTGCCATTTTAATGTCTATCTTTTGAAAAAGGATCAAACAAAGGATAAATCTCTATTTAAGATCGTTCTTGACGATAAAGGGTTGAATTTAACAACGTACCACATGTTTAACTGCTCTTCTGTCAGGCCTGTAATGTCAACATCGTATTAACCAACCCCCCCCTATTAGTCTACCCAGGGTTCAGGCCCCAATAATTAACTAATTTGAACTACTAATTTCCACAGTCACCACCCTCTAATAAAAATTTTGCTTGGCTGAAACCCCCCCCTATTAGTCAACCCCCTGTCCCCCCAGGAAAAATATAATTACTTCAATATATATATATATATATGTGGGAATTAGTATTTGGGCTCTCATGGATCTCATCATTCCATCCCATCTCATCTCCTCCTCCTGTCATCATCAGGTCATCCCACTATTAGGGGGATGTGATCTCCAAAACCTCCAATCTCAGACCTTGTTGACCTTCTAGGGGGGGGGGGAGGGGCCCCCGTTGATTAATACGACGTTGACATTAGGGTCATGATGTATATAGTATGTCCATTGTTTTGATTCATCTACCACAAGCTACTTCACAATCGTTTTGAAAATACTTGTTCATTGTTAACCCTTGCGCTGTCAAATTTGTTGCTATGTTTCCGTTATTCATATTCTATGTCAGGCCAAAATCGCAATAATTACCGCAGGTAAAGAATTTTGGTTAATGAACCATTGAGTATCATTGTAGCCTTCTTTAGCAAAACAACGCAACAATAAAACACGCCAATGTCTAAGGGGCAGATCCTGAGACATTGACTTCTTTTTAGTGACTATGTCACACAAACAGCAAATGCAAAGCGAATAGTCATTCTGAAGCCTTCTTACCAAAGCCAAAAAGGCAAAGACACACAAATAAATAAAAAACATAACAAAACACACCAATGGAAGTATGTGCAGCAAAAGCTACAGGGTTAATAGTTTCGGATTTTTGCTATTTATTTTTTGGGGTTGGGGTTTTTGACACAGTCTCCAAGTCCAAAAACTCTAAAATTCAAAAATGTAAAAAAAATAATCAAACATCCAACCCAATGGATGTTGGTGCAGCAAAGACTATTAGGTTCTTAGTTTTGTTGTTTTTTGGATTTTTTGGATTGTGGCTTTTGACAGCAGTGCAGTATTATGATGATTGTGGTTGAGTGCAGTGCAGAAAGTAAAACAATATTGGACAAATGTGTGCTACCGTGGTCCCCTGTTCCGAAAGTAAACCAGCTGGAATCAAACGGATATTGAAAGAAACGCAATTAGAAACCACAAAGTTAAAAAAGGGGATCAACAAGAACCAAAGCAACTCAACAGGAGTTTTCGAGAAACCCACTTGGAATCAAAAGGGTGAGGTTCTTAAAAGGGAATTATATAACAAGAAGCAAAAAGAGGTTGAAAGGAAATCAATAGGATCAAATGATAAGGATATAAGGTTTAAAGTGCAGACTTCCAAGAATCAGGCTTGAGGTCAGATCCCAAACCAGGGGCTAGAGCTCTCATGGAGTGCAAGTCTGTGCCTGCCCAGCCTGACATTAAAACGATTGAACATAAAACAATAGCAATGTTCCGGGAGTCTTGAGGGAGGGGCCTTCCAAGAATATCAGAAAACAAAAACAATGGTTTCTTGTTGTTGTCTATGTATATATATATAATCTTGTGTTGTATATAATATCTGATGGTGTGTTTGTTTTGGGGGTTCTTGTTTATGTTCTTTTGCGATTATAATTGCGATTGCTTGTTTTCAATGATTGATATGTTTATGGATTACTTTGGTCTTTTTCCCCGATGGGAGGTAGAACAGGTGATACCAGTGAACCGCAAATGCAAGTGTTGAAAAAATGTGTGTTTTACAGTGTACTTGAACCTATGACATGCATAAAATATTGTGATTTACCCTATTTCATGCATATTACCAAGGGAAAGTTACATCCCTAGGAGTGCTGCCAAGTAAAAATAAACAAAAGGACTCTCAATACCAGTCCAGCTGACAGGAGTTTGCTCTTTCGCATGGCAAGGCAACAGTCCCACACCTCAGGATGTTCACGCTTCGGATCTGAACGAGCTGTGACACTGAGAGAAGCGGCCGAAAAAGCTGTCCTCAATCGTTGTGAAGGAGGGGGGAACATACTAGCGATGGCCTCCAACCTGGCCAACTTCTGGGGGAGTGCTGATAGCTTTTCTTCATTCATGTCGGTGGGTTCACTCTCCTTCAAGCTAACCCAAACAAGCATGGTCCAAAGGTGCAATAGGGACATCATCTGAACCCAACAAATGGTTCAGATAGAACGGGCTTCACACAAAGGACCCTTCATCTGCCCCATATTTCTTTCAAATGCAGGATGCTGCATGGCGCCAAGCCACTGTTCCGCTTCGGCAGTTGCACCGACCTCATGCTGAAGGGATCCGTTCGCGTGACCTTGACCTCCATGTAGTCCTCTGCGACCGACTCATAGGTTTGCGCCGGTGGCCTGTCAAGGGGGCCACACTGGTGGTTCACTCCAAGGGGGGACGGAGTCTGTCCTCGAAGTCTGGGACGTCAGAGGGCATCCATGTGGGTATCCATGTGGCCTTGGGCATCCATGATGGAATGCAGCAGCCTGGGTTTCTTTCAGCCATCCCCACCCTCCCACCGGAGCTGCCCACAGGTTCCACAGGCCTAGATTGCTTTTGGCGCATCCTCGGCACGCGGCACGCGGCACAACCCAAAGCTCCAGTCTCGAGCGGAAAAAGAGACAAACCAAGACTTGAAGCATCGATCTGCTTAAGGCTTAAAGGGTGCAAACACCAATGGACATAAGGGATGTATCGTGATGCATCGTGTATCCCAACATCTTCTGACAGTCTGACATGACATCCTGCACCCTCCTACCACAGAAACAAACAAACAAACTAACAAACATAGCATATCACAACCAAACAAACAAACAAAACAAACAAACAAACACATAAAATATAAACAAACAAACAAACAAACAAACGAACATGCCTGAGGCATGCAGCCCCACCGCACCAGTAACAGTCCCTTCCGTTTTTCCTGCATATTGGAGGCAAGAAGGCAAACCAAGATAACAGCAAGATGCAGCAAGACTGCCCCACACCACTGACTAGAAGCTTGCACCTTTGTATCCCAACCGACCCATTTTACTGCTTGAGGCCTTTGCTACTGAACTATTCATTCCACTGTTGCCTACCCAACAATTGGACAAACTGCTGCGCCGAAACTGCTGTCAAAGGCACAGAATACCAAGATTCAGGCTCACGTCAGACAACTGATGTCTGATCCTCAAATGAAGCTACTGCATCTTTTGCCCAAAACACAACCATGGAAGTACAATTCTACCACGAACACACGAGGTATCAGCTTCAGGATCCTTCAAACCTGGGTCCCAGACTTCGTCTGACCATCCAAAAGCTCATGACAAACGTGTAGGAGCTGAGGAAGTTCAGTATTGCCTGACGATGCGGACGCACATCACTCGTTAAAACCTCTAGACAACCTGCAAACATTTATTAATCACCCTCTGTTCCCTAATTTATTCATCTATCTATCTATCTACCTATCTAAATACATTTACATCTATTTAAATATACATAATATATATATATATATAATGTGAGCATAGTAGTTTCACAAGTCCCTCAACCATCTGAGATGAGCGTGCAATTCCTTCGGTGCTCCCCAGCCACGGCAGTGGTGCCAGTGAGCTCTGCAGTGCATTCCAAGGCACTCAAGCAGGATTCGCAATGACCTGTCAGGTGAACAACCAGGAAGTTGTTTAAAACCGCTTTCAACAACCAGGTGTCTGTCATATAAATGTCCCCCTCAAATTAAATACATGTGCTCCCTCAACCGCGAGTTCGCGAGTTCCTGAGGTGAATTCACAAAACTCCCTCATAAATCTTAAGCTTACTCAAAGCATCTTTGTCAATTATGAACTTGCCAACTGCTCTCCCAAAAAAAAAGGGTCAATGTTCCAAAGCTCTTCAGTTACTTTGGGACCTCTAGTTTCGTCGCCCCTCGGAGTCCCAGCCCGGCCCGGATCCCTGTGACCCACCAATCGGGGGCTAAGCGAAGAAACCCCTTCGAGCGCTTGGTGGTGGCGCAACATGGCGCAATGGGTGAGAACATCACATCCTTCCGAGACAGTAGATCATCTGAAGCCCTGGAGGTATCTGGAGGTGAGTGAAATGGGCTCCAAAAGCTCTCAGGCTTCTTGACGGCTCTATATAGTTCTGTCCGGACAGATTTCTAACGCTCGACATGCAGCCAAGTGCATTTTGGATCATTGTTCTGTGTTTCATAAACTTCACCCATCACCCTCCCCCCAAAGAAGTCAAACAAGAGTAAACTCACGAGTCATTGAGTAACCAGACCCCCAGCCAAGCGCTGAATCCGCCCCACGTCAACGGATTCCACCGCGCTGACCGTGCGAACCTGTGAGCGTCTCTTCCAAAACGATGGGCGCGTCGTCCGACTCCATGGGGCGTCAGCCGAGTCTTTCGTCCGGGCTCTGTCAAGCTGTGAACTGAAAAAATGCGGCGGTCTGGCCTAGGTGGATGTAGTATATATTCCCTATGGATCCACATACCTTCTGAGGAAGGTATGTGGATCCATAGGGATTGTATAATATATTTATATATCTCTCTGCCAGGACCTTCCAACAGGTCTCCTCTGTTGGCTTTCAGACTTAAAAGTGGCAGGTGACAACCTGTTGGAAGGTGCTGTCACCTAAACTAATTGAAAAATGTTTCAATTTCAATGGGCACATTTGAAGATGTCGACAAGGAAGTGTAATTAGGGATGAAGCCTAGGAGCTAGGAGGCTTGAAAAAGAAGTCTGTGTCGATGGCTCTGGCCGTCTCCTCCACAAATGCCTCCTCAAACATCCCGAAACATGAACTGGCCAGTGATGGCTGATACTTGCCCGATCTTGCCCGTCTGTCAGTGAAAACGTGTGCAGAACTGGCCAGAACGGACCTAAAGTTGTTGATCCAAGGCCACTGGAATGACCATGATAATGACACCTGGTGACAGCTGGGGGCCCAACAAACTCGTAATGTCCACAACAAACTGTGACAAAGGAATGGGATGGCATAGACCACCTTTATAGCCTTCTTGACCCCACCCCCCACCGTCCACCCCCCAGATTTAAGAGCTTAATAAGAGTTGTGCGCCCGCCCCAAGAATGTAGCCTGCGCAGATGGTAGGGTGGAGCAAGCGACACCAAGTGGTTGGGAAACTTTATCCTTATTAAGGTTTCTGCCTCCTGGTGTAGGTGGTGAAAAAGGGAGAGACATAAAGCTTAATAAGCTTTGGGCCTCAAAGAACCTTTAAATTCAGAACTGGGGTGAGGTACTGCAGGGGCCCATGAACCGGTCTCGGAATTTCTGTTGTGTTTTTGAGGCTAAGTTTGGCTTCGAGGAAAGAAGCAAGTTTATGGGTAGTTTCGATGTCTAGCATATGTACCCTATAGCGCAGTTTGATGTGCGAGGTGGAACCATTGAGGTAGTAGGTGTTGGGTGAGTTAGGTGTGGAAGTTGTGGGGGGGTTGTGAGGGATGTGTCAAAAGCACAATCTTTGCCAAGTCACCCACTTCCTTGTCATCTTTTCAATAGCTGCCCCCC